TCTTTTCTGCCGAATTCTTCTTCTCTGCCATTTTTTTTGTAGGTGTTGGTGTGTGTTTTTGGGAGAAAAAGGTGGTCAAATGTTGAATATAAATTCCACTTACTCAAAAATTGCAAGGAAAGTCCCCCAACTCCATTTTTATATCACATTTAATCCTTAACTTCCAAAAATATATAAGTAAATTTCCAATTTTAAATTGTATCCAATTTAACCCTCACATATTGCCAATTGGAGAATAAACCCCAATAAAATATTTTAGTCAAGTCAAGTCAATTCCCAATAAAGTCGTTTATTTTATTTAAGTCCCTATGTGACTTTGACTTTGAAAATTCCACTATTGACTTTGACTAGATAAAAATGTGGGTTATAACAATCTTACCTTCTTAAAAGAATTTCGTCCTTGAAATTCAACTGGCAACTGACTGGGTAATCAATAAGTGAGGATATTGAGCACGCATCTAATCCTCATTCTCCCATGTAGCCTCTTCTACTGTCTGATTCTGCCAAAGTACTTTAACAAGTGAAACTGTCTTGTTCCGCTGAATTTGCACCTTTCTGTCTAGAATTCTCACTGGCTCCTCTGTATAAGTCAAATTCTCTTTTAACTGAATTGGCTGAGACTCCAGAACATGAGAGGGATCTGCAACATACTTGCGAAGCATGAAAACATGAAAAACATCATGGATATGAGATAATTCATCTGGTAAATCTAATCGATATGCAACTGGGCCAATCCGCTCAGTAATCTCATAGGGTCCAATATATCTTGGACTCAACTTTCCTCGCTTGCCAAATCTCAACACCCCTTTCCAAGGAGATAATTTAAGAAAAACTTTATCTCCTACTGCAAATTCAAGGTCTTTCCTGCGCTTGTCCGCATAACTTTTCTGTCTATACTGTGCTGCTCTCAACTTTTCCTTGATCAAATTCACATTTTCAGACGTCATTTGAACCAATTCCGGGCTTTCTAACTTCCTCTTACCAGCTTCATCCCAACAAACTGGTGTCCTACACTTCCGACCATATAAAGCTTCAAAATGAGCCATTTCTATACTAGAGTGGTAGCTGTTATTGTAAGCAAACTCCATTAATGGCAGATGAATATCCTAACTACCTTTGAGCTCTAAAACACAAGCCCTCAACATATCCTCAAGAGTCTGTATGGTCCTCTCTGACTGGCCATCTGTCTGAGGATGAAAAGTTGTACTGAAATGTAGTTTAGTACCCATGGCTTCCTACAAGCTGGGCCAAAATTTAGATGTAAAACGAGGGTGTCTATCAAACACAATGGATAATGGAGTACCATATGAGCTCACTATCTCATCCACATACAACTTTGCCAACTTATTTAAAGTATAAGTGGCTTTGATCGGCAAGAACTTGGCAGTTTTGGTCAAACGATCTACAATCACCCAAACTCCATCATGACCATTTTGAGTACGAGGAAGACCAAATAAAAAGTCCATAGTAATGTGCTCCCATTTCCACTCTGGAATAGGCAATGGCTGTAAAAGTCTTGCTATTTTCTGACGAACTAGCTTTACCTGCTGACATATAAGACATTTGGATACAAAATCTGCTATCTCTCTCTTCATACCAAGCCACCAATAATGAACTTTTAATGTATGATACATTTTGATACTACCTGGATGCATAGCATAAGCAGAACTGTGGGCTTATTCCAAAATCTCTTTCTTCAATTTTGGAATATTTGGAACACATAATCTATTACCCATAGTTAGTGCCCCACATCTCTAATCACATAATCTATTCTTAACCCAGTACTAACTTCTGCTTTCAATATTCTCAATGTCTGGTATTGAGATTGAGCTTCTCTAACCTTATCAATCAAAGTAGGTCTTACCTGAAAATGAGCTAATACAGCACCTGAAGTAGTAGCTGACAAATGAGCATGCAATTTCTTGAATTCACAAATCAAAGAAGCATAAACTGCACTAGCTGAAGAGGAAGAACTAGTCTTTCTACTGAGAGCATCTGCAACCACATTAGCTATCCCTGGATGGTAATCAATCTTACAATCATAATCCTTAATCAACTCCAACCATCTTCTCTGCCTCAGATTCAGTTCTTTCTGATCAAAAATATACTTCAAACTTTTATGATCAGTAAATATTTGACATTTCTCACCATAAAGATAATGCCTCCAAATCTTCAATGCTAACACTATTGCATCTAACTCCAAATCATGAGTTGGGTAATTTAACTCATGCCTCTTCAATTGTCTTAAAGTATAAGCTACAACTTTCCCATTTTGCATTAGAACACAACCCAATCCTTAGCGTGAAGCATCACTATAAATCACAAACTCTTCACTTGGAGATGGAAGAGTAAGTATAGGAACAGAAGTCAACCTTTTCTTCAACTCTAGAAAACTCTTCTCACATTCCTCATTCCACACAAATTTGGTGTTCTTTCGAGTCCAATTAGTTAGAGGAAGAGCAATTTTGGAGAAATTCTCTACAAATCGACGATAATAACATGCTAGCCCAAGGAAACTCTGTACTTTTGTAACATTAGTAGGGCGTTCCCATCACATAATTGCCTCGATTTTATGAGGATCTACATAAATGCCTTCTGCTGAGATGACATGACCCAGAAACACAATTTTATCCAACCAAAATTCACATATGCTAAATTTAGAGTACAACTGCTTATCTCGCAAAGTCTGCAAGATAATCTTCAAATGTTCAGCATGCTCATCACGACTGTGAGAATAAACCAATATATCGTCAATAAAAACAATCATAAATTTATCTAAATATGGGTGAAGCACCCTATTCATCAAATCCATAAATGCAGCTGGGGCATTAGTTAATCCAAACGGCATCACCAAAAATTCATAATGACCATGCCGAGACCGAAAAGCAGTCTTTGGTACATCAACATTTCTAATTCTGAGCTGATGATAACCCGAACGTAAATCAATCTTTGAAAATATTGAAGTACCTCTAAGTTGGTCAAACAAATCATCAATGCGAGGCAACGGATACTTGTTGCGGACTGTCACTTTATTCAACTGTCTGTAGTCAATACACAATCTCATTGTGCCATCTTTCTTCTTCACAAATAAGACTGGAGCTCACCATGGAGATACACTGGGTCTAATGAAACCCTTATCAACTAAATCCTGCAACTGAACTTTCAATTCCTTCAGCTCTGCTGGAGCCATTCTGTAAGGTGCCTGTGAAATAGGTGTTGTCCCGGGAATCAAATCAATACAGAATTCTATCTCCCTGTTTGGGGGTAATCCCGGAAGGCCTTCTGGAAAGACATGGGGAAAATCTCGCACAACTGATATATCGTCAATAGTCTGCTTTGTAATCTGAGTATCAATTACATGGGCCAAATATGCATCACAACCCTTTTTGAGCATTCTGTGAGCATCCAGGACAGATATTACACAAGATGACAAAATTTTGCGCTCTCTAGTGAGAACAATTTCAAGCTCCCCTGGGCTTCTAAATACCACTTCCTTGCGAAAACAATCAACTGAACCACGGTGATTAGATAGAAAATCCATCCCCAAAATAACATCAAAATCATGAATGTCAAGAGGAATTAAATCTGCTTTCAACTCATGATTGTTCACTCTAATCCCACAATCTTTATATACACGATCTGCTAAAAGTGAGTCCTCTACTGGAGTCATTACTACCAATTCATTATGTAAAGGCTTTAACATTTGATTAGCATAGCTAGCAAGTGTGTGAGAAATAAAGGAATGTGTAGCACCCGAATCAATTAAAGAACGAGCATTTCTACCAAAAATAGATAACATACCCACTACCACATCTGGTGACTCCTCTGCCTCCTACTGTGTTATAGCAAACACCTTGCCCTGAGTCCTGGATCGACCTGCCTGGGCTCCCTGTCTAGAAGCACTATCCCTAGCAGCATTAGATTGTGTGGCCCCCATCGACCCTGCTGATTGAGTTCTTTGATCCCTGCTCTGTCTAGTCATACCGATTCCAGGCTGAGGAGATACTATCTGAGATGCTCCAATCTGCTGAGATCTGGCTGGACGACTTTTCCTTATGTGTCCCATCTGACCACACTGATAACAAACTCCAACCCCTCGAAGACACTCGCCTGGATGGAACTTTCCACAAGACTGGCACTGTGGAAAGCTCCGATAATCAGAAGCCTCACTCTGCCTCGCTCCTTGAATTCTCTGTGAAGGACCCTGCATATTAGAATGGCTTCCCACTGACTGCTGTCCAAAACTCTGACTATGTCTTGATCCCTGACTAGAGCTAGAACTCCCAGACTTGGATTTAAAACTGCCAGATTTAGTGACACCTGGCCAAAATCATTTTCTGTTCTTCTTGAACCTTTCTCCTGAAGCTCCGATTGACTACTACCACCTCGAAAGGTCACCTGTACTCCTTGATTACTTCCTTCACGAATAGCTGTCTCAACCCTCAATGCCGCCTCAACCAACAAACCAAAATTTTGATGCCCATGAGCAATAACCATAGGTCGAATCTCTGCTCTCAACCGTTGCTCGATCCGTCTACACCTATCTCTCTCTTCAACTACCAAAGCACTAGCATACTTAGACAGTTCGACAAATTTTACATGATATTCAGCAACAGACATAGACCCCTGCACCAATCTTAAAAATTCATTTTGTTTTGCATCACGATAAAATGGTGGATAATATGTCTCAAAGAAAGCTTCCTTGAAAATGGTCCAGGTGATAATACTTGGATCTAGATACCGACTTCGGAACGAAATCCACGAATTAGCAGCTCCCCCTTCAATAAAAATACAGCAATGCGTAATTTTTTTTCCTCTGAACATTCTATCACATCAAATATGCTTTCCAAAGTCTTCATCCAAAGTTCAGCATCGACTGGATTAGATGTACCCATAAAAGATTTTGCTCCAAGTTTCATCGCTCTCTCTATAGAGTTATCTCTATCAGTATTTGGTAGAAGGAAAGCAATAGCTGCAGCTATTCTATCGGTAATGGGGTTAGGTTGCACCTGAGAATGGTGCACTGATTCAGCAACCCCACTGACCCCTCCAACATGTCTTTCTTCAGGAGTATTATGAGCTTGAGATACTGGATTTTGGTGCCTGCGAGTTCTGCCTCGACCACGCATGACTTACCTACAATAATGTGTGACATACAAATATCAGATACATGCAATGTTACTCATAAACTCTAAGACCACGCTCTGATACCAATTGACACGACCCGTCCCGACTCAACCTAATTGACTCGACACGTGTCGTGCGCCGATGGTAGATTCCAGCTAAATGTCGGACCCACCACCAAGGCAAACTTGACCTATTTGACTGTGCTATATATCTATGAAAATTTTGACAGGATTTTCCCATAAAAATGGACAAAACCAACCTGAAAAATCATCAAAACCTCAAATAGACATTCAAACCAAAAGTTCTAGAAACCACCACAACTAAAACAAAATATAACAAATTTCGACTGAGTGCTTCTACAACAACATCAAGTCTACATGCAAGCATTACATCAATTACAAACCCTTCTACAAAGTGCAAGACACCCCAAATATTAGACAAAATACTTAATAAACATGAGTCCCTCAACTATTCATTACATACTATGAAACGGTCTCTTTCGCTTCAGCAGACTTTTCCAAGTATCTCAAAAATCAACGGTCTCCTGATAGAAAAAACATGACAAAAATATGAGTTCGTAACTCAGTGAGTGGATGATTTGCAAATAAATAAACTTTTTCCATTTATGCATATTTTCTAAAAATTTTAACTTTATTAAATCCTTGAGAATTTCTGAATCTCGTAATGCCTTTAAACACTAAACATGATTATATTATAAAATTCTTTGCTCTAAATTCTAGATAAGTGTCTGTAAGGTATAACAAATATAAAGAATCTGATATTCATGAAAATTTATGAAATATTGCTGCTGCTCAATACTAGAAGCTGAAAGCTATTCTAAAAACTGAATTAACTGAATTCTATAATTTGAAATCTAAGAACTGAATAAATACTGAAAAATCACACCAAAAAGATTACCCAATGAATAGCCTTACTCATGTACAGAGTAATCTCGATGTACAAGGCAAAACCATTCAAATCTGATAATCTGATAGCTAATAATCTGGTCATACGTACGCAGAGCTGCCCCAAAAGTTAATCACCCTAGTACACGGCCCAAAGCCTATGTGTGTACGAGAGTGGGTCCCAAAGACCTCTGATAATCTGGTCATACACTATGGAAACACATTCACAATAGTGCAGAGTGGGTAAAATCACTATAACTAGTCATGCATTGTGGAAACACATTAACATCAGTGCAAACTGGGGTAAAATCACCTGGGTACTTTCTGGTGGTTTTTAGAAATAACTTTAACTATACTGAAACATGTAATAAGGATATAACATGCTACTAAAATAATTTAACTGAACTGAATTTAACTTTAAAAGAAATTGATAATAAAATCCATTTTATTCTGAAAATCATGCTATGAAGTCAATTTTATAAAATAAATAACTTTAAAATTTAAAGAAGACTTATTTCTGAAAAATAAGTTTTATCCACTCACAAGGTAGGAGCTACAAGCTAGATTGCCTGATAAACATTTTCAATTTCCTCGTCACCACCTGAAATACGATATTAATAACCAATTTATCCTCTATCTAATCAAGAAACCTTAATATCTAATGATAGAACTTAATTTAAATTCTCTTGACACTTGAATAACTTCTCAAATTTTCCTTTATTAATTGGAGCTAATCACACTTTATAATCCCTTGACTAATAACTAATTATCAACATAACCTTCTTCCCAAGTTTAAAACTAATTTTACTCTCTAATCAAGTGAAGCTAGTAACCATAATTCTACCCATTTAATATACATTTTGTTCCATAAAATCAACTCCCAAGTGAAATATTTCATTTATATAATCATTTCCACAATTAATTAATCAAAATCTCAAAATCGGATTCTAGGGTTTCCCAAAAAAAAAATTGACATCTCCTTACTTTAATGTAGATAGAAATTCAAGAATCAATAACTTGAGTTCCAAGTAGTATTCATCTCAACAAATCTGAAAATTTCGAGTCAAAATAAAACCCTAGAATTTTAACATAAAATTTATCTACCTCTTCAAGAAAATAAAGAGAAAGGAAAAATGGAAATAGATCTCGAACTACCTCTTTCCTTTCTTCTTCTTCTTCTTCCTTTTTTCCTTTTTCTCCTTCTTTTTCTTCCCTTTCTTTCCCTTTTTCTTTCCTTTTCTCTTTTCTGCCGAATTCTTCTTCTCTGCTGTTTTTTTCGTAGGTGTTGGTGTGTGTTTTTGAGAGAAAAAGGTGGTCAAATGTTGAATATAAATTCCACTTACTCAAAAATTGCAAGGAAAGTCCCCCAACTTCATTTTTATATCACATTTTTTCCTTAACTTCCAAAAATATATAAGTAAATTTTCAATTTTAAATTGTATCCAGTTTAACCCTCACATATTGCCAATTGGAGAATAAACCCCAATAAATATTTTAGTCAAGTCAAGTCAAGTCCCAATAAAGTCGTTTATTTCATTTAAGTCCCTATGTGATTTTGACTTTGAAAATTCCACTATTGACTTTGACTAGATAAAAATGTGGATTGTAACAAAAGACATGTAAGATACCTGGGAAAATGCTTTTTAATGATTTAAGGCACTTATATCTCTTCTATGTGTGCTTGTATGTGTACGTTTTATACGATTTCAGTTTATGGGGGCAGTGACAAGTTTTCGAACCGTATTTATTTATTTCTGGTGGTCTGTAATTTCTTTTTGCTCTCCCCCCTCCCTCTCTCCCTCTATCTCTCTCTCTCTCACACACACACACGCACACACTGGCAGAGTATCATCACAGGTGCTCCGGATCGAGAGCAGATGTGCATAGTAAAGACACTCAACTTCCAAATTTGGAATTTAGTCATTCTTTCCCCTTGTAAATGAACTTTATGTTACAGATGCTTGCTGAAACTATGAACAATGATATAAAGCGTTGGGCTGCAGGAAAAGAAGGAAACTTACGAGCTCTGTTGTCGTCGTTGCAGTAGGTTTTTTCGTTAACCATTCAACCCCCTTTCTTTCTGTCTTCTATGTTGCGGAGTTAATAGTAAATGTGTTAAAGGATGTGTCATCCCATATCGATTTAATATCGAAATAAATATCAATTTATAAAGATTTTGGGCTTCTCTATTTAATAAGATTGACCTTATTAAGATGGACTCCAAGTTTTAATATGGTACCAGAGCTATTCGTGGATTTCAAGATTGGTTTGCTTAAATGAGCTACCATTTTGAGGGGTCTGTTAAGGGATGTGTTATCCCACATCGATTTAATACCGAAATAAATATCAATTTATAAAGATTTTGAGCTTCTCCATTTAATAAGGTTGACCTTATTAAGATGGACCCCAAATCTTAATATGGTATTAAAGCTATCCCTGGATTTTAAGATTGATCCGCTCAAATGAGCTACCATCTTGAGAGAGCCTGTTAAAGAATGTGTTATCCCATATCGGTTTAATATAAATAAATACCAATTTATAAAGTTTTTGGACTTCTCCATTTAATAAGATTGACTTTATTAAGATGAACCCCCCAAGTCTTAACACTGTGTAAGATTTTTCTATTTTTCTTTTATTACACAGTTTTCCCTCCTCTTCCTCCTCCTCCTTGTATCTGTGATGGTGCCAACACCCCCTTGGGGGGATGGCAGAGTTTTCGTTCAGTCCAAGTAGAAAGAACACTCCATTTTCTGATTGAGTGGTTCTATCATTATCTTGATGTTCTAAACTAAATGGTGGCTTACCCAAAATGAAAACATTTTGAACAATATTTTCCGAAATACCCTCACTAAATTTATAAGCGGGTCATCACTCAGAAACTCCGCCCAGTCAAAGAAAGAAGATGATTTTTGGCACATTGAAGCTTCTTAAAGAGACTGATTCAAGGGGAGGTTTTCAATTCAACACGAAAGAAAGAAATATGGTTCAAAGGTACATAAAACTTTAGACCAGTTGTCGTCATTCCTTTCGCACTCTGCCCATTTTCAGTCAGTCAATATATGACCTAGCATGATTTGAATTGAATGATTTAGTCGAAGAATAGCCAGAAACGTAATAAGGAGAGAAGGTTGAAGACCCCCACCCCATCTGGGAGGAAAATAAAATGCAATTCCTTTTTCTTTCTCTGTTATAAACCAAATCATGGTCGAACCATCTCTTTTCCATTTCCACTGACACCCACCACACACAAGGGAGATCGCTGCCTCACCAACACAGTGATCACTGCCTTACCACCAACTCAAACCCCGAGTCCAGCAAAACACCATCGCATCATATCTGCACCACTGTCGTTCTCAATCCAAAATCAGTCCATTCTTGAAATTACTGCCACCACTTCCAAAATTTCTAGCATGCAAGGTTCAATAGAAAGGAGCCAGTGTCCAACAAAAATACATTTCTGAGAAGGTTTTTGATCTTCTGAAGGTACTTTCATTGTTCAAGAGGTCCATGATTTTGTTGCACTTGGTTGAAATTTAAACACTACCATTCTATTTTCTATGCCAATAGAGGATCTGAACGGAGTTGAAGTATATTAGATCCAATTTTATAAAACATGGCAAGGCGTAAGACTCAAGACAAAACAATAAAATTATTCAAAAGAAGATAAAAATACTAAAAGATTACACTTATGATAAACCAATAAATCCCAATAGACCTAACCGTCTCAAACAAATTTTCAAAACGATTAGACCTATTTATACAAATACATTTCCATGGCGTTGCATTTTATGCACGCGTAATTTGCATGTTAGTGTTGCATTCATTCCTCTCAAGCTACGTATATTCATCAAATCGTAAATTTTCACGGGAAGCTTGGAACAAATTCAATTATGAGGAAATGAGATGAGTTTTCAGAATAAAGTTGGTGCCACTCTTTCGAGGTAGTTCATATTCCTTGTATAGGAAGGGGCTCCCCAACCCTAAACACCAAGCTGTTTCCGAGTTTCTTCACCAGAAGAAGCTCCGTGTTTATTCTTTGTTGACCCCAAAAAGTGCCCCAACAGATGTCGGTCCCACCCGCGCTTGCGTGGGCGGATGTCCAACATGCTAAGACACGTGGACGGTCTAAAACGAGCGGTTCAAAGGGCGTGGGAGTAGCCCAACGACGCGGGACTGTGACGTTCGAAATTCGGCGGGTTGTTCGTAATCCGATTGTACAATAATTACCAACCGGTGTTCATAAATGTATATGTAAATGTGTATAAACTCGATTTGTGTATTGCAAGTAAAATGAGAGAGAGTTGAGTAAATATAGTTCTTTGTATTGATTCTTGCATTAACCTTTTGATATTACACAAGGGAAGTATTTATAATAGTACATATGAAATGGGAGCACTTGGATAAAGTGGTACGTGGCCTCATCTCTTTAGTTCAAACATCTTTTCCTAGGTATGGGGCTTGACTTGCTAGCTTGCGGCGCATTTATTGCTTGTGCAAGGTCTTCATGCTAGTGACAAAACTTGACCTTTATGCTTATGACAAACGTTCCATCAATCATTCGAATAAGATCCGTGCAGGCGATCTCTTGGGAGAAGTGATCATGGAGGATGTTTCCTTGTGGTTTAGAGGCTCACGCATCAGCTTCGGAGCTTCGGAGCTTCGGCCATTTGTCATGATACTTTCACTTGAGGGCCTCAATTGCTCTCAACAGGTTCCAGCAGTCTGGCTTCGGTTCGTAGGCCTCGGTCAATGGGCCTCGGACAAAAAGGACCCTCGACAGATGGACTTCAACTCGAAGCAGTTCGGATGTAGCCCACCTAAGCATTGTGTGCCACCTCGACAGGAATGCCACGTGGATCGTCATGAGTGGGCCATTGTCCCAGATAGTTTGGCCAGGTATGACAACACGCAACAATAGTCCTCCAAGTCCAAGTATATTCATTTATGTAATGCGTGGACTTTAATGGAGTAAAAATTGAAAGAATTTTTGAACCCCAAATAATAGTCCCCCAAGTCCAAGTATAGATATTTATATCATGGTTGGAATTAGAGAAGTGTTGCTGTGGGTGAGCGATGAAGTAGGCGAGGTGTAGAACTTTTGAAGATGAAGCCGAAGTGGTTGAGGAACCGAACCTGCGAGGATTGTTGCTGAATGTTGAAGAGGAAGCTGAGGTGGTTGAGGAATCGAACCTGCGAAGCTTGTTGCTGAATGATGAAGAGGAAGCCGAGGTGGTTGAGGAACCGAACCTGCGAGGCTTGTTGCTGAATGATGGAGGAAGTTGAGGTGGTTGAGGAACCGAACCTACTAGGCTTGTTGCTGAATGTTGAGGAAGGAGCCGAGGTGGTTGAGGAACCGAACCTGCGAGGCTTGTTGCTGAATGATGGAGGAAGTCGAGGTGGTTGAGGAACCGAACCTGCGAGGCTTGATGGCTGAATGTTGAGTAGGAAGCCAAGGTAGTTGAGGAACCGAACTTGCGAGACTTGCTGCTGAATGATGAAGAGGCAGCCGAGGTGGTTGAAGAACCGAACCTGCGAGGCTTGTTGCTGAATGTTGAGGAGGGAGCCGAGGTGGTTTGAGAAACCGAACCTGCTAGGCTTGTTGCTGAATGATGGCGGAAGTCGAGGTGGTTGAGGAACCAAACCTGTGAGGCTTGATGGCTGAATGTAGAGATGAAGCCGAGGTCCAATGGTAATTATTGTGCCTTGATAGCTGAGCCAATGATTTGATGTCTTGTGCTTGTTTTCAAGGAAAAGTGGCTGAACCGTTACGACTTCCAA